TGTTACGCTGCGTGGGAGAGAGAGACCTTCAGGATACATGGCTTGTGTTACGCTGTGTGGGAGAGAGAGACACTCAGGATACAGGGCTTGTGTTACGCTGTGTAGGAGAGAGACCTTCAGGATACATGGCTTGTGTTACGCTGCGTGGGAGAGAGAGACCTTCAGGATACATGGCTTGTGTTACGCTGTGTGGGAGAGAGAGACACTCAGGATACAGGGCTTGTGTTACGCTGTGTAGGAGAGAGACCTTCAGGATACATGGCTTGTGTTACGCTGCGTGGGAGAGAGAGACCTTCAGGATACATGGCTTGTGATACTGTGTGTGCTGCATTCCACGCCTTCTCGCTGTTACTGCTAACTACATCGATGGTCACTATTTCGCCTTATGGGGTGATACTACGGTTAAAATTTTTGTGTTGTGATTTCTGGATTGTTCACCCAACATTACCTCTTGACAGAAGGAAGAGGGAAACGATTACGATCTACCTCACATTTCGAGTGTAGAAATGTCTCTGTGTGATTTGATCACGAACGTGGGCTTCTTTTTTTTCGTAAAGTTGTGGAGATAGAGTTTATTTATTTAGATGTCGTGTCATGTGTCGTATGATGTGTCATCGTCGTTACACTATTCATTGATCGTTGTACAGATTTAAGCCTCTTTCAACAGTGCCATCAATTGAAGAGGCAGGGACTCTGAATTTATCGTCTGTATCCTTGATACTTTATCTTTGAAATTAAGTACCGTCTGTAGTGTCTAAAACCGCAGGTGGTCGGTGGGTGCTCTGATGTGGTTTGCTCCTTCTTTCTTACCAAACATATATCGTCCTGATCTCCCCTCCTTTTTTTTGTATTTGTTACTGTCTTCTAACACCTCACTAATCTTCAGCAGTTATATGACCTTATTTTGTTGCAAATGCCATAAAACCCTTACTAAAACTTTTTAAAAGAGCAGAAAATGCCAGGAGTCGTTTACCCCATCCCTGAGGATCCACCAATACACTTGGTATACTTATATCTTCAGTTACTGTCCAAATGTATTGAGCCCAATTTTTTTTTTCAATTACAGTTTCTTAATCTGTGATATTGGTTGCATCAGCTGCTCAAGAAATGTTTTATTGAAATTCAAATTGTGAATGTTGAAAACTTGAAGAAAAAATGCATTATGTGGACACAAATGGTCATGTTGTAAGAATGTAGCGATTTGTTCTGTCCCCTGGAAGGAATGACGTGTTTCCTAGACTTAAAACATTCGCTACCTTACAGCTACGAAGTTCTATTTGACATATTTGTGAGGCAGCATGGAAGAATTAGGCTCTCGTCTAAATAATCAAAGTGAAGAAACTTCCATTTTTCCGCTGGTTTTGTGAATTTTTATCAATTTTTTTTTTTGGCTTAACACCTTTCATGCCCATTAAAGAACTCATTTTTGTGTGGATTTTTCTGAAAAACGTTGATTAAAGGTACAAAAAATGTAAATTTTCAGTTACCATGGACTCTTAAGCTAAGGAAATAACTAATCTTTGGCGGCCATTTTCTTACTAATTTTACCTCTGAAAAAAGGTGACCCCCACCTCCTTCTTTCGCAAATATCTCGACTTGTATTCAAGACAAATGGATATATTTTTAATTTAAATAAAGACAAATAAAAAAGCTTTAAGATGATACCAAAAACTCTTCATGCCCAAAAATTGATGAGAGCCTGATTCCACCACGCTGCCTCACATTTGGTCATTTTGAGTTACTGATATTCGGAGTCGTTATCGAGATAGTCATAATATCATATGAAAAAGCTTGACATGTGGAACTCGAAAGTCTTGTTGTCAAGTTAATTATTTCTCAAAACTAGGTAGGCCTACTGAGCAGATACAACTTTGTAATTCTGACTTAGCTCAGGGGGAAATCTTGTGGACTAATATCTACTTGTAGTAGGCCTGCACAGAATGAAACCCGCGGTGTGTGATGTGTGGCGACCGACTGATCCTCACGTCCTGGGGCATGTGAAGGGGTCGTTATGGTGTACTGTGACGTCATCTACAGTTGTCTTGTATTGTGATCGTTATGGTGAACTGTGACGTCACCTACAGTTGTCTTGTATTGTGGTTGTTATGGTGAACTGTGACGTCACCTACAGTTGTCTTGTATTGTGATCGTTATGGTGTACTGTGACGTCACCTACAGTTGTCTTGTATTGTGGTCGTTATAGTGTACTGTGACGTCACCTACAGTTGTCTTGTATTGTGGTTGTTATGGTGTACTGTGACGTCACCTACAGTTGTCTTGCATTGTGGTCGTTATAGTGAACTGTGACGTCACCAGTAGATACTGGTACCCTGTATTGTTGAGGTCAGAGAGGACAATAACTTGACTGACTTCCGGAAGTCTGATCCTTCGGCTGGGAGGGCCGGATGTTTTCTTTTTAGAAGCTGCACAATGGCTTTTCCGGTCAAAGACATAGCAGCTAGTTATAGCCTCAAGGTTTTTCCAATCTTGCAGACATAGAGGAACAAGGCCACTACAGACATAGAGGAACAAGGCCACTACAGACATAGAGGAACAAGGCCACTACAGACATAGAGGAACAAGGCCCCGC